CTGGAAATTCTTAGTTGACATACTGCTGAAGCCTAGCTTGAAGGATTTTGAGCATGACTGTGATAGCATGTGAAATGAGCATAATTGTACAGTAGTCTGAACATTCTTTGGCATTGACCTTCTTTGGGATTAGAATGAAAACTGACCTTTTCCAGTCTTGTGGCCACTGCTGAGTTTTCCACATTTGCTGACATACTGAGTGCAGCACTTTCACAGCATCATCTTTTAGGATCTGAAATACCTCAGCTGGAATTCCAGCACCTCCACTAGCTTTATTTGGAGTAATGTTTTCTAAGGCCCACTTGACTTCACACTCCAGGATGTCTGGCTCTAGGTGAGTGATCACACCATTGTGATTATCTGGATCATTAAGACCTTTCTTGTATAGTTCCACTAAGTATTCTCGCCACCTCTTCTTAATCTCTTCTGCTTCTGTTAGGTCCTTATGGTTTCTGTCTTTTATCATGCCCATCCTTGCATGAAATGCTCCCTTGATATCTCCAATTTTCTTGAAGAGACCTCTAGTCTTGCCCAGTCTATTGCTTTCCTCTATTTCTTTGCATTGTTCCTTTTAAAAAGGCCTTCTTATCTCTCCTTGCTATTCTCTGGAACTATGCGTTCAGTTAGGTGTATCTTTCCCTTTCTCCTGTGCCTTTTGCTTCTCTTCTTTCCTCAGTTATCATTAAGCCTCCTCAGACAACCACTTTGCCTTCTTGCATTTCTTTTTCTTTGGGATAATTTTGGTCACTGCCTCCTGAACAATCTTATGAACCTCTGTCCATAGTTCTTCAGACATTCTGTCTACCAGATCTAATCCCTTGAATTATTCATCACCTACATGGTATAATCAAAAAGGATTTGATTTAGGTCATATCTGAATGACCTAATGGTTTTCCTTACTTCAATTTCAACCTGAATTTTGTAGTAAGGAGCTCATGATCTGAGCAACAGTCAGCTCCAGGTCTTAATTTTGCTAACTCTATACAGCTTCTCCATCTTTGGCTGCGAAGAACATAATCAATCTGATTGTGGTATTGACCATCTGGTGAGATCCATGTGTAAAGTCAAATTGTGCTGTTGGAAAAGGGTGTTTGCTATGACCAGCATGTTCTCTTGACAAAACTCTGTTAGCCTTTGCCCTATTTCACTTTGTACTCCAAGGCCAATCTTGCCTGTTATTAAGGCTACCTCTTGACTTACTACTTTTGCATTTCAATCCTCTATGACAAAAAGGACATCGTTTTTTGCTGTGTTGTAGGTCTTCATAGAACCAGTCAACTTTAGTTTCTTTGGCATCAGTGGTTGGGGCACAGACTTGGATTACTCTGATGTTGAATGGTTTGCCTTGGAAAGCAACTGAAATCATTCTGTTCTTTTTGAGATTGTGCCCAAGTACCACATTTTGGACTCTCCTTGACTATGAGGGCTATTCCATTTCTTTTAAGGGGTTCTTGCTTACAATAGTAGATATAATGGTCATCAGAATTAAATTTGCCCATTTCTGTCCATTTTGTTCATCTATTCCTAAGATTGGAGGCTCAGTCTTGCCATCTCCTGCTTGGCCACATCCAGTTTACATTGCTTCATGGACAAAACATTTCAGGTTCCTATGCAATATTGATCTTTACAGCATCGGACTTGACTTTCACCACCAGCCACAATCCACAGCTGAGGGTCATTTCCACCCTGGCCTGGCTGCTTCACTCTTACTGGCACTATTAGGAATTGCTCTCTGCTCTTCCCCAGTAGCATACTGGACACCTTATGACCTGGGAGTCTCATCTTCCAGTATTATATCATTTTGTCTTCTCATATACTCTATGGGGTTTTCTAGGCAAGAATACTGGAGTGGGTTGCTGTTTCTTTCTCCAGTGGGCCACGTCAGAACTCTTCACCAGGACCCATCCATCTTGGAAGGCCCTTCACAGCACGGCTCTTAGCTTCATTGAGTTACACAAGCCCTTTTGCCATGTCAAGGCTCTGATCCATGAAGGGGAGGTGGGTCTTGTTTGAGGCCAAATGGCTAAAACTCAAGAAAACTCTCTGAATATAAAAATACAGCTAAGCATTCTGAGTAGCATCTATACTGCTTTCTCTGCAGATCAGCTGGGCCATGAAGTCCTAACCTAACAGAGTCCCCTATCCTGGGGCCAACTGTGCTAAGGCGGGAGTAGGAAAGGGAACTCTATCCAAGCCCAAGGAAACCAGAGCTGTCCTGGCTCTGTTCTGAAAGGGCCCAGGATTTCCTAGACTTGAGCTGACGTCTAAGCATCACTGCTGGAGTGGCTTTTATCAGGTCATTTCTTCTAAGAGGTGCACATTCTTGAATGTGAGAAAAGAGCAGGGTGCAGGAAAATAATTGCTGGATTCCAAATTGTATATTCAGTCTTAAATGAAAAGTAAACAATTCCTGAGAGGGAAGACAAGTATTTCTTTACAAATTCAAGCTAAGATTGAGCACAAGATACAACTTAGATTGTTCTCAGACACTGTTTTTCCTCAGGGGAATTTTAGCATTAATTTATGACTAATAGATTACCCCCCCCCCCTTTTTTGTCAAGTCCTTGATTAAACCCTTTGTGTGTGTGTTGGGGGGGGTGGTGTGTATGTATGTGCCCGTGGACTCATGGGCAAGTCTGGAGGAGTCTGGGCTTCATTCAAATGGAATCTCTCTTCTATCTTGGAAAACGTCTATATTACTTTTGATGAGAAGAAGCGTAATGCCTCAAGAGGTTCAATCCCCCACAAGTCTTAAAAGTGGTCTTGCGGTTTAAGAATATAAGTAGGAAACCAGATTAAAATTGCCTTTTTTAAAATCTGTATCCAAAAATACCTTCATGATCCTTATTTCATTGTTCTGAAACAAAGTAAGGAGGGTGGTATGCTGAGAGCCCCAGTGGAGATCCTGCCAACCCCCAGCTGTGTGACTAGCCAAGTGAGCCTCTTTACCTGCAATGTGATTAAAAATGATTATGTCTCAGAGTTGTAGCCACCACATGAGATGAGAAAACCAAAGCTGTTAGAGGTTTAGTGTTTTTTTTTTTTTAAATCACAGAATTATGGAGCCAGAAATTAAATGCGGCCATCTGACTTCCAAGCCTTTTCTACTAGCATGCTGCTGCTGCTGCTGCTAAGTCGCTTCAGTTGTGTCCGACTCTGTGTGACCCCATAGACAGCAGCCCACCAGGCTTCCCCGTCTCTGGGATGCTCCAGGCAAGAACACTGGAGTGGGTTACCATTTCCTTCTCCAATGCATGAAAGTGAAAAGGGAAAGTGAAGTTGCTCAGTCATCTCCGACTCATCACGACCCCATGGACTGCAGCCTACCAGGCTCCTCCGTCCATGGGATTTTCCAGGCAAGAGTACTAGAGTGGGGTGCCATTGCCTTAGTCTACTTTAAAATCCTTGAGAAATGTCACTGAAGACTAGGGTAATACTATATTAAAAATCAGTTTCTCAAGACATCAAAAAAAAAAAAGTTACCTTAGAAGATCACTCATATCTAGGTTACTTCATCCTACCTACTATTTATAGCTACTGCTTAATACACCAGATTTTTATAATGCTAAATACCAGTGTCAAGTTCATATATTCTTCTGGATATTAGATATAAAGGTACAAAGATTATAGATACTAAAGAGATACAGCACTATTAGCCAAATATAAAGACTTAATTCTCAATTTCTCTAAGATATTTATCTTCAGAATTTAGTAACCTATAAAATATTCTTATAATGCATAATAGCCCTAAAATGTTTATATGAAAGTGATAATGTTTTAATGATGGTAACAATTGTGCCTCACAGTATCACTAACTTGAATAGAGCAGGACAAATTCTGTCCAAAAGATGGTAATAAAATGTTCTTTCAAAAAACATGAAACAAAGTCCTTAAATATCTTAGCCATAAGAGGCCAATAAAATTGAATTCATATCTAGTTTAATTAAACAATGGAAGTCAGGTGGTAATGGGTAGAAAACTTCCCTTTGTCCCTCCTTTCCTGGGAAACTTTCAAAGGTTGAAAATCAATTCCTTTTGTCCCCTTGTTATGCATCTGTTACACATTAAATAGAAACTCTGGGTATCGAGTAATTCCCATAGGGTCTTTCATCTACAGAGAAGCCTGGTACAAATTAAATTCTTACTCTCCTTCATGAATTATAGATATGTGTTGTAGTGGACCATTGATTTATCAGCATATGCTTTTGCTAGTTCAGCGTGGTGTGACAAGCTAACAGCAGTCCTTCTCTAAGGTTATTTTGGGTTGGGGATTGGGGTGTATTAATTAATATAGAGCATTATCATGTTGTTCTGACTTCACAGTCTCTGTTTAAAAGGCATCCTGTTAGACTAAAACAGTTACCTCCGTGATCCTTCAGCTATTTAGGTTACCTGTGTATGTGTGTTCTAATACACTGTAATAACACTAAAATGTGTAACATCACATCTGCCAGTGATGTGATGCTTATGAAATGACCATCATAATGGTTATTACACATAACGTGCAAGAACAGACCATGCAGAAGATCTCTTAGGAATTCTTAACTGATGCAAAAGTTGGTTTAGCATTGAACTTCAGAACCAATAGTTAGGGAAATAAATTTGACCCCTGCCTGCAATATATCTTCAGGTGACACAGCTTAGAAAGGGCCTCTGTCCCAAATCCTGGCTTTCAGAAAGAAACCACAGATATACGATAACCCACACACATACACACTCAGTTCCCAATCTCTAGTGCCAGAAGTTCTAAGCATTTCACTTGAATCTGTTCCCCACCAAATACGCTAAAACTCTTTTTGCGGCAGGTGTTCTTTTAGGTCTTTAACAAAGACAAAATCTGGTCAGCTCTCGGTCGATTTCTAGGTGCCAGGCCTCCCCAAACCACTCGTTTCCCCCTCAGACGCGAGTCTGTCTCTGGCCCACCATGCACCTCGGCTAGGCTCTTCCCGCCATCGCGAGACCCACCCTTGGAGCGGAAGCCTCTCCCGGGGGGGCCTCACCTCGCTCGAGTCCTCCTGCTGGTTGATGACAGCGAGCGCGTCCTCCGCCGCCTGCCGCTTGGCCTCAGCCACCGTGCGCTCCATCTTGGCGCGCTCCGACGTGATCATGTCGTGCGCCTTCCGCTCGGCCTCGGACACGGCCTTCTGCAGCTCCGTCATGGCCTGCCGCTTCACCTCGTTGACCGCCTCCTCTGCGGGCCGGGCAGGGGGGACCGGACAAGAGAACAAGCTCGGTCAGCGTGCGGCCCGGGCTCCCGACCCGTCACCACAGAACGCTAGACGACACGCACGACCCCCGGCCTGTACCGGGCGGGTCTTCCAGACCTCTAAAGACTCAGGAAATATTTAGGAAACGCGAAGGGTGAAGCCCTGTTCCTTTAATTTACACTCCTGGGAATACCTTTTATATTTCGGTAGCCTCACGGTAACTGGACTGCCAAACTAGTGCTCCAGACAGGATCCTGAGATCAGACCAAGTAGTCTGAAGACAAAAATTACCACAAGAAATCCGTCTACATAACTGAGACCCACGAAGAAGGTGTTTTGCCACAATGAAATATGAACATAGAGAGTCCATGGGTAATGCTTTCAGGAAAAGCGAGGAAGGGAATAGATTTTACACAGACACTTGTTTTGCTGGTGAAAGATAACAGTAATGAAAAGGTGTCTCATAACAATTACTGCAGACCTTTGAAAGGAAATCCAAGATGAAACAAATGGAAGATCCATCTTTTCTTTTTCTTATTTCCTGAGTGATGTGGATATTTTAAAAAAAATCATTTTCTCATTTCCAAATTTTTCAGTTGTAGTCCATCTACTGAATCAAATATAAGTAGTTTTGCATAACCAACTGTTGCACTAGACAAATATAATTGAATCATACTGCAGGCCAAAATAATCAGGCCTGACTACAAACCTGCAAGGTGTCAAATTAGCTCTTTATTTTTGGCTGTGGAAAGGGTGCAAAGATTTGACTAATGTACAACATAAGACTGACAACTAAAACAAGTAATTTCCATTAAAAAAAATTAACTGTTCTAATTAACAAGGGAAAATATCCTCCCCCTGAATTAGTTTATCTAATTTTCATCTTTATTCAAAGCAAAATGACAATGATTAATTGAAAATTTAATAAGCAGTAATTATTAACTTGGCAAATCTCGTACCAATTAACACTCTATTAAAACTAATTATGACATGTTTCATTCAAATGTTTGCACTTAATTGTTTCACTCACTTAAAAAGCACCTTAATTAAATGTTCTGTTTAATTAAAAACATAGATTCCTAATAAAAATGTTATACTGCAGATTAAAAATGTTGAGATACAAATACTCCTAGAGTTCTTTAAATTTCTATGTTTTATTTCACACCTCCATAGTTCATGACTTGAGGATCAGGAGAAGCCCTCCACTATTAATTAATAATCATGACTTTGGTAGCCTCCACCATTTTTTACAGCACTGTTTCTGAAGTTCACTCATTTGTAATTACTGTCTGCTAGATTTTATAAACTAAACTAACAGGACATATTAACTGAAATATGTTCAGCATTTTTTGGCTGCTTTAAATACGCATTTAAAATCTGGATGGAAGCAGAGCAGTGCCCAGAGCCGGCAGCACCTTCTTCACCAGCAGGTGGAAAGATACCTCTATTATCCTGTCCCAAAGGCGTGGGGCACTAGGGGAGCACTGCCCTTCTAACTATAGTCAGGGTCTAATCTGGTTTGAATATGCAAGGTGAATTAAAATTCTATCTAAGTGGTAATACAGGACAATAATTTTTGCTTACGATCAAAGCTGTAGCTTGACTAATTGTATATGCAAATCAGGCAATTTATATTTAAATTATGCATCCCTATTCTAATCCCGCAGGCATATACAGATCAGCAAAGAGAATTGGTAGGACATTTACAAGGTGCTTGAATATTTATTACCAACAGCAAACATTCATTGATTGTTTGAAAAATATACTGAAGAAAACAGTTGCAATTTAAAAACTATATATATGGTAGCCTTTCTCCAATTTTATAAAGACCTTTTAAACTTCAGAGTGTATTTTGTTACCTTTTCTGTTGCTTTTAAAAATACCGCTTTTAGGGGAAAAGTGATATGGCCTTCAATATTTTGTTAGGATTCCAAATATTTAATATGTATCTTGTTATTATACTGTATTATTAGGGTAACATGCAAACTTTGAATAGGGTCTAGAGGTTAAATAATTATATTGTATTAATGTTAATATCCTGATTGTGGTAACCATACTCTGGTTATATAAGAGGATGTCCTTGTTCTTATTAGGAAATACACACTAAAATGTTTAGGGTAAAAGGATATCACGTCTGCAATTTACTCTGAAGTGGGTGGGAAAAATATATATATAATGCATAAACAGAAAAAGAGTGAAGGAAAGATAGAAACAGAGAGAGAAGACATCAAAGCAAATATGGTGAAATAGGGAAAACTGGGAGAAAGGTATATGAGATTTTATACTATCTTCTCCAACTCTTTCTGCAAGTTTGAAATCATTTAAAAATAAAATGGTGCAAAATATTATATGATGTACTTTCGAGCACAGGACAGAATTCCAAAATTATAATTTTCCCTGAAAAAAAGACACGGGTTACATTCCATTGAATTTTAGATAATTGATATTAGCATTTGATATTGTTCAAATGCTTACCTATATTTGTTACAAAGGTAATGTATAACAGTTTCATTGCAAAGACACACTATACATTTTGTCTAAAAAAAAAAAAAAATTGCCCTTAGTGAATTTTAGAATCTTGGAGGAAAAAACTTTCAAATTTTAACAGGCTGAATGTAGATGTCACATTCTGCCTTTGGTGTTTTACTCATGTTGGATGCCTTGACACTTTGAACACTAGAAATGCCTTTTTAAAAGCCTATACATATGATAAGCAGTTACTTGAGACTTCCAGGTGAAACTGTCATCTGTCCTTCAAAGATTCAACACACTCCCCCTAAAATTTGGCAGCTATCCATAGAAAACTGTTGCCAAACTGTTTTCATGCAGCAGATTAGGGATATCACTGTGATAAAAATACAAATTTAACGAAAATTACTTCCAGGTCAGATTTTAGACTGAAGACCTAATATAGATGCATAGGTACATTTTATAAATATTCTAAACATTGGTTTGATAAGGTTTAACCCTTGGAAAATGCATGGACACTACATAAACAAGTATTGCTCTCTCTCTCTTTTCAGAGTACCCAAAATGCAAAGTATACCTAGAACTGATTTGAGAAATCCACCAGACAGTGAAGAAAAATTAATAGTAGACTCAATAGATTACAATATTCCAAGTTTAAAAAAAAAACAACTAATTAAGCGCAAAGTACATAGCGCTGTTTTGAGTCTGCTTCCAACTGCTTACCACTTACGGTAGGATTTCCTCTGTACATAGCTATCCAAGTTGATTTTCCAACAAAGGTAGTATATACAGAAAAATCTGCTCTCACTTAATAGCAGTCAAACTAAGACTTGAGCAGATAATAGCACAGAAAGAATTTGGATTACACAAGACTTCACTGTCAATTTTTCTTTATGAACTATCAAGATTTAACTCAAATACACATAAATAAGGGAAATACAGAGACTCTCTCCCTCAACACAAAAATCCATCCTTCTGCTATCCAAAAGGGCAATGCTTTGTACCTCTTATTGGAATAAGTTGCACTGACAGCCCAAAATTGGGAAGAAAAATGGTCAGAAGGAAGACAGCAATTCTTTCTCCAGATTATGTGGCACTCAGCACATTTTAACAGCCTAAGGGTGTTCCATAACTGTTATCTTGGTAGGAAATCTTCTTAGAGGCAATGTGGTAGATCTGGTAAGGCTATATAGACCGGCTATACATACACACACACACAACACAACACATATAAACCTTAAACTTTAGGCTGAATGGATCTATCTGATTTGTATAATAGACATGTAAGAGATCTTTCTTGGTTCTTAATCTAAGCTGCTAAGCCTAGAATACTATCAGATTTTGAAACACCTCATCACTCTTACAAAAGAGTTCTTAGAAAATTAAAAAAAACAAACCCACAAAACTCGAATTAAGAGTCAAGGGACCAGAGTCACCAAGTAGCACAGAACAACAGACATAACTGGGTCAAATCAAAACAAACTGAAATCTTCTGTGGGGAAAAAACCCTTTTCTCCTCGACTGGGGGTTTACTGGCCCACACCTGTCTGATGGTTTGCAGAAATAGCATTTTCCAGTTTGCCATTTCATGCTCCAGGACACCTTCCCAACCCACGGATCAAACCTGTGTTTCCTGTATTAGCAGGTGGATTCCTGACCACTGAGCCATCAGGGAAACACTAACAGTTGGAGTTACAGAAACTCAAAGACATATTATGTGTTTGCAGTGTCATTTTTAAGTCATGAAATGGGTTTATAATTTATCTGAGTTTTTTTTTTTTTTTAAATAAGGTTTTGGCTCAACTTACTGGTGTTCCACCAAGAATCTGTCAAATTTGAATTTCTTTAAGCCCAGTAAGTCAATGAATCATCAGAAACTTAAAGCTACTTCAAAATGTAGAACAATATCTCTTAATGAAAATCAGATAGTATACATGGAAAAGAAAACATAAATTTAGCAACTCTGTCATTTAACTTATTTTAGCTTTGGTCATTGCATATTAATTAGCACAAAAGATCAATTTTAAAAAATGTTGGTAACCACAAAATTTCTGAGTGCCTCAACTGGTGAATTTGTTGCTGTGATATTTTTTAAAAGAATTTAAAAGGTAGATGTCAATTATAGCTCAATTAAAAAAATTAGAAGATAAGGCTAAAGTAAAATACCAGACTTCATTTTCAGGAAGGAAAAGGTGCATGCAAGCTGAAACCTCAGGCTTCCAACCTGGAACCATTACAGCCCCTGAAAAATGGGGTTTATAACAGAAGTATCACCAGACCCTCACTACAGTAGCACTAACAGATGCTATAAAATAAAAACTATTCTGTGCTCTAATCAGGCCTGGTTTAAGAATATTCATCAGGATTTTTAAATTGTGTGTGTGTGTGTGTTGGGGGCGTATTTTGTTGCTGTTGCTGTTAGCGGTAAAGTCCTTTCTTGTCATTCTTCACATCACTGCATTAACAACTGCACACAGCTGCCAGAACACTAAACTCATGTTTTTAAACAATTCTTACCAGCTTTCTTCCAGATCTCCTCTGGCACATATCCAGAAGCAGGCCTGTGAAGGAATTCCCGATGTGCATCTATGAGAAGGATAAAAATCGGTGGAGAGGGGAGGAAAGCACCATAAGCACTGTTATGTCATCACACGGGGAGAGCAAGCAACGCCCACTATCTCGGCTTCTCTACAGAGACACAGTCTTTTAAACACTTCAACTCCAAAAAATAAAAATAGGAAAACTGGTCATCAGAGCTCCAAGAAAATACATCACTGGTGTAAATGCTTATATGCTCAAAACAAAAACAACTCTAAATATTTCATTATGTGTGTTAGTCGCTCAGTCATGTCAGACTCTTTGCGACCCCATGGACTCTAGCCCGCTAGGCTCCTCTGGCCATGGAATTCTCCAGGCAAGAATACTGGAATGGGCTGCCATTCCCTTCTCCAGGGAATCTTCCTGACCCAGGGATCGAACCCTGGTCTTCTGCATTGCGGGCAGATTCTTTACCATCTGAGCCCCCAGGGAAACCCACATTTTTCATTATACAATATGTTACACAACACTGTTCCCAGCACTCCCTAAGTATGGGAATTTCTATGAACATATTTTATTAAAGAAAGCAAATTGTATTTGGCAATTTTCTCTTTTTTTTAAAGTCAAATTGAGAGCAGAAAGTCAAATTATATTGGAGTAACATAATTCTCACACAGCTATGATTCTACCACCTTTCAATAAAAAGTGAGCCTGACTCCATGGCTAACCAGTTCTCACACTTAATTACTTTAAAAAAATCTTGCTGAGCATTAAAAATTCTCACAAAAATTGGATTATATGGATTTGACATGGATGGAAGCAAGAAAGAATCATTAGAATGGATTCATAGAGAGCCAGTTGACCAGATAAAACTAGTACAGGACATGCTTCCAGGGTGGGGGTGAGGGGGTGGATATGAAGTTCCACTTTAAGTGAAATGTTGTGCTTTTATGCTGCACAAACTTTAAAAGTTTGAGAAAACAGATCATAATAAAGTTGATATAGGAATGTTAACCTCCAAATAACATGTTCATTAAAATGACATGAAACCTTATTTTCATGTTTTTATACATGCTTGAAAATAAAGTGTATACAGTCTTCCACAGCTAAAATATGCTCTAAACTTCTTCCATACTGGATTTTTCAAACAAAATTCTATATATTTAGAAGTTTGGAGGAAGAAAAAAATCATTTTAACTTTTATAAACTTAACAATCTTTCAACTCATGACAAATTTCAAATAATTGAAGTTTTCTCTACAGGTATAAGAAATGTTAATTAGCAGACTTTTTAGAGAATACTTTATCTAATGTATGCTGACGGTCAAAAGAAATTCAGCCCACTCTTTGATATTTTATGGAGCTACAGAATGAGAAAAGCACAATCAAATTAGCTAAGTATATATCATTTTATATTTGAATGCGTTAGACACATTTGAATATTCTGAGTCACTTGAGGGTACATAGATTATCAGTTGCCCAGAACATAAAATTTCTAGAACTATTCTAAATTATCAAAATCTTATAGCTTACTGAAGGACATATGGAAAACTCCCTGTACTATCTTTGCAATGTTCTCATAAGTCTAAAATTATTCCAAATATAAACAATTTTTGAAAGTTCACATTAAAATTTCATGACTACCTGATAATTGAATGGACTGGAAGTACCCACGCGTTCTCATGTGCACATTCATTTCTATACAGTAAAGGACGAAAACCCAAATGTTTTTATTTAAGTAATTTTCATTTGTTAAAGACCTTGATAAATCTGTCTGATGCCTATCAACTCCAAAGAAATAAGACATGGGTAATTAGATTTGTCAAGATTATCTTCCACACTATTTTAAAGAAAGCGAAGTCAAGTTCACACTTAGTCACATGACGCAGTGAAACCGAGATTTACTTAGACATTTATTTTTAGGAGAAAAAACCTTGGCTTAAAAATAATTTATTGGATGAGAATAGATTTGTAAAGTCTGAAGACAAACAGAGGAAAAAAATATGCCTTCTCCACAGTAGCAAAAAATTGGGGGGGGGGGTGTATTTTTTTCATTACTGGGTTGAGGAAAGAGTAATAACTTCACAAAAATTATTTTTCTAAATGGCCAGTTTTTATTACAGACAATGGGAAAGGTGATGCTAAGTTATCCAAATACTAGTTAGCAGCACTAGGCAGCACAGGAGAAGAGCTAGGTCTAAAGACCAAAGATGAGGATCTTGGCTTTGCCCTGAGACACTGACCGGGCAGGCTAGTTTCTCCACGTCTCCGCCACCATAGTGTAAAGTGCCGACAAGACTACCACGTTCGAGACTGCCGCGGTGAGGGCTCAACGAGGTACTTCCTACTGCCTGTTTGGCATGGCACATCCTAAACTCCGACGAGATGTTAGTTGGGACTCTCATCATTCTCATTATGTAGCAGGCTGCTCAGTAAGAATGGATTTACAGTCATCCTTTGGTATCCGGAGGGGGACCAAAAGCTGAGGACGTTCAAGTCCATTATATTAAATGGTATGGTGACGAGTGTTGCTATGAACACAGAGGTGCATATATCTTTTTGAATTGCAGCTTTATCTGGATATATGCCCAAGACTGAAACAGAAAGACTCACAGACATGGACAACAGACTCGAGGGTGCCAAGGGGGAGGGCGGGTGGGGCAGGGGTAGACTGGGAGCTTGGGGGTAGCAGAGGCGAACGGAATGGATAAACAGTAAGGTCTCACTGTACAGCACAGGGAACCACATTCAAAAATCTGTGCCAAGGGAAAGAATTTTAAAAAGAATGTGCGTGTGTATCACTCCGCCATACCGCAGGAATTAATACAACTTGTAAATCAACTATATGCCAATAAAAAAATGGTGTTTGCATATAATCTACACATATCCTTTTCTATACTTTGAATCATTTCTAGATTACTTATAATTCATAATGCAATACAACGTAAATGTTTTGTTAAAAGTTGCCAGCACATGGCAAATTCAAGTTTTGCCTTTTGGAACTTTCTGGGATTTTCTTTTTCCCCTGAATATGTTTGATGTGTGGTTGGTTGAATCCATGGGAATGGAACCTGTGGGTATGGAGGGTTGACTGTATACTTATTTCCTTATAAAAAACTAAGGTGAAAAGAGCACCTTAAAGTTTTTGCTTTTTTTTTCCCAAGCACCTAAACAAAAGGGCACAAAACTTCAGACAAAACAGAATCATCAAAGAGGCTTGGGTTAAGTAATGTACACCAATAAATTTTTACTGCCTCAGTGCATGTGACCCAAGGACAGAAGTTATTTCTGTTGCTAGCGATTCACTGTCTGAACCCTGATGGGAAGTCTTCAAACTTCTGAGATGATACTTTTATAAGTTTTATTTAAACCTCATGAATACCCCCAAATTTGTTCAAAGACAGTTACTGTACTGGAGTCAACTGGGTACCCACCTTTCTGTGTGCTATATAGTTGGTACAGATCGTGAGGATCCATTTACCACATCAGAAATGTGTGCTATATTTCACCTTCTTGGCTTCATCTCCCTAGAATTCTCAATGACACATGTCGTATCCACATAGAGTCAAACTCCACCTGACCTAGAATCCTGATAGAAATATCAACTCCAATCAAGCAAAAGTTTTCTTAATCCTATCCTACTTTCTAAAAGAAAGGTTTTTTTTCCCCAAAATAGCTGCAGTCTATTTATATAATACACAACTATTTACATATGTATACATATTTTACAATATCCTCTCCGGTTCTAAGTTGCTGTGTCCAAGCTAAGCACCAGGTGTATTTACAGGAAGACCAAAGTGATGTCAGTAGATGTATTCCTCAGAATCTTTTTTTTTTTTTTTAGAATCTCTTTTAATATACTGATAGATACTACTTTAATAGCCACAGAAACCAAATGACTAATAAATTTAGTATTTTCTCTTCTGATTAAGTAGCAGCAAGAAGAAAATATATATGCAAAGTTAAATTTGAAAAAACAAAACAAATCCTGACATTGATCAGTATTACAAGAGACAACTTCTCTCCCAAGACTTTCTTATTTTAGATTTTTGGCAAATCTAGACAAACTTGTACAAGACACTCTAAGGCTCAGATTCTAAAGAAGTTAATTTTTAACTACTAAATATTGACCACCTATAAAACATCAGTTGCTATAAAATGGAATGGTTGTTCTAAAGTACAGTGGTGAAAACATAAGAGTCTGTACAGGATGGTTTAAAATGTGAAATGTATTCACGTGTAACTACTGCAAGATGGAAAAATCATAGAAAAGTCCTTCTAAATTAAGTTTAGCTTGCTTTGGGATGCAAATTGCCTGGGGATGAAAGAAGAGGAACAGGGGAGCCTCCGGAAGATACATCTATGAAATGAGGAAACTGAGTTGAAGTGGAGGTAAGATGAAAAGACAGAAAAAGCAATCTAAGATGTATGCAAGAGATGGAAGATGCAGCACACTTACAACCGATGGATACTAGATAAAGCGAGGGCTGCCATCGATATACATGAAGGGATGAGTTGATAGCCTCTGAAGAATCAATGTGACGTCCTATGACTCAAGACATCAATGATCCAAGCTTAGCAGCACCTATGTTATGGCCATCATCCTGAGGTGGGCAGAGTGAGGCAGTGATCATGAAAACATCTATTACAAAAACCATCACAAGAAAGGAAGGTTTAAATGAGTTCATCTTTAGAAATGCTACTTATTTTTTGTTTTAAAGGATAGTAAATTCAGAAATCTCAGTGTTATGCTCAAAATCCCAACCCAACCTAGAAGCCAAGAACTATATTATGATTTTCATCTTTAACAGTAAAAATATGTAATGCCACAGGAGGGAATCATCTCTTTTTGTTTTTCAAAGATGGATGTATTTAACTAGTACTCACATATTTTTTAACCCGATATACAGTAGACTTTTTAAAATTCAGTAGGTACTTTACATTAGGAACTCAGATGCATTGTTTTGAAATGAATTTCATGATGTAATTTAAAAGGAATCAGTACAAGTACATAAAATCTAAACTTTTATATGCAGATATACTGTGAATAACTTGTGACTTTTATAATCTGACAGTTCAGAAGTTGAAAAATATATACCTTTGGATGTAAGTAAGCTATTTTTCATGAATTAGGGTCCTAAAGGTACAATAGATTTACTATATTTGAGACAGAATTACTGCTTGGAAATACTTTCAAAATGAAAAAATACCTAAGAATCCACTATAACTTCATAAACTTGGATGCCAAGCAAAAACACTAAATTTATGTACTATTTGCTACCCTCTAAACTGAGGTTGCATGTTAGAAACAATAATAGCAGCTATTATTTAGGTCACATCTACTATATGTCAGGCACTATCCCATGTTTTATAACTGTTAACTCCTTTAAAACAGAAACACCTATGAAATATGTATTGTTACCATCTCTATCAGATGAAGAAACTGAGGCACAGAGTTACTTGCCAGAGGTCAACAAAACTAGTGAGAAGAACAGGGATTCAGATCCAGACATATGCTCAGACCTTGTGCCTTTAACCTTCATTTAAGATTTGTGAGCCTTTAGACAGTAATGAGAAACTCTACAGTTCAATCATATCATATGACAGTGATAAAACTTGTCAGCCAAAGAAATTTTAAAGTATTAATTTCTCTACCAATCTGCTTTAGGCAGGAGGTAGTATTAATTCAACAAACTTCTGAATTTCTAAACTTTCTGTGAACAATCAAGTTGATTTATCGTTTTCCTTTAAAACAAAAAACAAAAATCTTTCTGGTACTTATCTTCATGGCTAGAGATACACCTTTAACAAAATGTACATGATGGTGTTTTCTAAACTTCATATCCTCTCTTCACAATATTCAAACATTCAAAAAAAAACCACAGGAAAGTGCATTCATACTTCAAAGCTTTAAGCTTCAGTCTCCAATACTGGTCTTAAATCCATCATTAGAATTAGATAATTCTTTTAACTTTCTCTAATGATGAGTTTGAGTAAACTCTGGGAGTTGGTGATGGAGGCCTGGCATGCTGTGATTCATGGGGTGGCAAAGAGTCAGACAGGACTGAGTGACTGAACCGAAGTGAATGATACAGAAGACTTGAGGATCACAGAAAGAGGGCAGACAAATAAAAGATAAGCTGTGGAGAGATTCTAGAGTAGTCCAAAGGCAGTAAAAAGAAAGCCATTTAAAGGAAATCAAATGTCAGGAGAATGGAGTGAACAGCATACTGCAAGAAATAGGAAATGAGGGCAAAGAAGAGTAGAACCACAGAGGCCTTGGTAAACACTCAGTGAGCACCGGAATCGCCAGGCAGCAGCTACCCACCTAGCTATATGTAGAAAAGCAATTCTACTTCAGTGATGAGGCCATCGATTCTGGTTGCATTAACTTGCTCTTTGGTGAAAAATGTATGCAGAACAAATCATACTTTGAAAGTAGAGACAACTGCTTTAAAAAATAGTTTTCTAATTTTCTTAAGACTTGGGTATTTGGAATTCTTCCTGGAAATCAAGTGAGTTATAATAGTAATGCAAATAATCAAAATCCATTATTTCAAGAAAAAGTATATTATTTCAAGGCAAAGTACATTATTTCAAAAGTTCTTTAGGGTAATTAGCTGATTTTTACTTAAAAAGTAGAGATAATATCATGGACTTAGTGTGTGCTGTTATAAAACTGTTCAAGAGGCTACTCATTTAAAATAGTCTTTACTTAATATCTGAGGGAAATCCCCCAAATTCAATTAATAATAGATTAATCATATTATCTTACTAATCTCTCACACTGACTTAATACTATAGATATATTTCAAAAGTGAGAATTAGAATGAATTTAACAAACACAAGTCATAGAAGTGACATTCTTCTATGTACAATCACCAAATACAATTAAAATGCTACAAATGAATGTATTGAATAATGGTGCCATTATTTCCAAGACAGGGATATGACTAAGGTGATATTTTGAACTAAAGATATCTTCTATAACATTATTCTGAAGGTCTCATTTGAAATCAGACAGCAACTTAAGAATTGAGAGAATCAGGCTAAAAGAAACACATACAAAATTACCATAGGATATGGAGCTCTTCATGTATGTAAAGATATAAGCACAGCTGTATCTCTATTTGTACACACACACACATACCCACACATCCCGCTACATACTTTTCAGAGGCACGAAATAAATTTATCAGCCAACAACGCCCATCCTTTAATTACACACACCAATACATTTGACTCCAAAGCCTAAGAGAAAACCCCAGAAAGCCCTTAATGTAGATGGTCGTGTTCCATGATTACCAACTACCTGCCTTATTTATAGCCACAGCCCAGCACACAAGAGAGATGGAACTTAAAAGACTTCAGGAATCTATTAGCAAAAGACACCAGTGAAACAACTGCTGGATGCTAAAACTTGCATGTTGTATGACGCTTGACGGGTTCTCTCTGATGCTGTGATAGGTTTCTTTGAAAGGCAATCTAGGGTTCAGGGTCCCTAAAGAACAGGACTGTTTTAACAGAGTCCCAACAAAGAAATGAACTACTTGTAGTCTTTGAAAAATACAACCTATAAAAGCTGAAACCCAAAGCAGTCTCTTTTTCCCAAAAATATGAATTCATTAAGCATCATTAAAAGTAATGTGATGTGTATGCTTAAGAAGAAATTTTTAAAACCAAGTTTACTCTTTTGATTATGTAACAGGAAAACTAAACCTGCCTTCTCAGAGAATGATGCACGCCGGCACCACTAGAATGCCTGACTATATCTGACTATATGGTAATGGTCCTGCGTGCAGTGTGCTGAATAAGTAACTCACATAGGTCTGAAGCACCATCCATTTCCGAAATTTTTCTTTTACAATGGACAGCAGATAGTATTAATCCTGTCACTTCAGGGGACTGAAGTGAGTGGCCTGCTGGTGCACCACTAGCTGCCTCCTTGCCTATCTCTTCCACTAGCTCAAAAATGCCTCAAAGGAAGGAATTAAGAAACTTTTTCCTTTATTGCAATACCTAGCACAGTAAGCCAGGCACAGAAAGTAAGCACTGACTTGATGAATTTCTTCACCAGAGCCAGGTAAAATGGATATTTTAAAGTTTCATTTAATTTAAGGTTCTCAAGGTTTGCCTAGATTGAATGATTACAAATATCCTCTTTATATTACTAATTTTGGTTCACAACACAAAAGTGAAAAATAAGATGCTTATACTAGTTTTACTTGGACCAATGTTGATTCAAATTAAACTTAAACCTATTTTCATTGCTTGCCTTAACAAAACCTAACAAATAACACTTTTATTTTTAAAATATACTGCAGAATGTCTGTTGGGTTAATTAAATAACTTGGAATCCTCCTGTATTTAATACTTATGGCAATAGATATTCATCGTTCAGGGATTAGCAAGAATCCACAAACCTAAATGCAAAGGAAATTTTATTGACTAAGAATCATTTTACTAAAAAAAAAGATAATGTGATCAACAGTCAGATAATATACTCCAAGTTTTTAATTTTTGATAGTCAGCCATGGTTGATAATGAGGCCAAAGTCATGAGCTTAATCTGCACATATGTAATTAGTTTTGTTTTTACAACAGACTGTACCCTAACCTAAGCTAGGTAACAGGTGTGGGACTAAACACTTAAGAAAATGAGATGAGAAAATAAGGATCAACACAAATCCATCTTAATTAAGTTGACTCAGACTGTATATACAAGTAATGGCCAGCAATGTAAATGACAGTAGCTTAGTATTAATTTAGGAAAAAGTTCACAGGTCACTCAAAAATTATTTTAGCTTCAAATTTTCTTTCTAAATACTTAGTATTACATTCTATTTATAACCCAAACAATTCTCAAATATCAGTACTAACGATAGCTACATGTTAGCATTCGCCTTCTAAAGCATGGTATATTAATAGTCCTGTAAGTTACTAGAATTAATAAAATCATGAATAAGCCATCATTAAGGTCATGGAAGAGCTATATCTTTATCACTAATTTTCAAGTGTCGGTGGGCAAATGACAAAGCCCTTAGGTATCCTCCTGGACTGGTTTTGAGATAAAGTGCTCTCAAACACTGAGGTGCAGTACAAATCCCAAGAGAGTGTGCTAGAGACTCCAAGCCCACTCCCAGATTTTGCAGGTTGGAGACAGGGTCCAAAGAGCTGTATTATGAAGGAGCACATATTTTAGTGATGCACGTGAAATTCTGGTCTGGCTTGGACGTTTGCTCATCAGCCCAACACATTAACCTACAAAAGGGGTTGAACTTTTTGTGACTGACCCTTTCTATACCACTCTGCCTAACAGACAAGACGTATTTGAGGACATAAAGTATTTATTGTTCTACAATTCTCTGTAGCGCCTTTATTTTTGCCGAGACAAATTAAGAGTAAGAGCAATATTAATAGCATGAGATGCATCTGTTCAGTATGTCCGTCTGAAGAAAAGATACCTAACGCCACTGGCTCTGGGTTCACGGGACTCTGCTGCCTGGAGTGGCTGCTGCTGCCGCCGCCCTTTTTCAAGTCCTCCGCGTCGCTGTACCGCCGGATCCAGTAATTCAGCTCCTCCCGGTCTGCCTCCTGACATCGCCTCAGTACTGTGAGAGACCGTCTTGTTTTTTCTACCATGTCCATTATACAGTTTAACAGCTGGGAGAGAGACGGGCAGGGGCACAAAGGAAATACGGATCAATCACCACAACTCAAAGACTCTGGTGGGGAGTGAAACGAACTATTCTCGAACAATGAAGAATAATAGCATTTATTTTATTCTGAAGGCCTCTAATATTTTCAAAGGTTAGATTGGAATCAGAGACCCGATAGATGAGTAGGTGCAATAGTAATGAGAATAAAATGTGGGAGGCGTGACAGGGAGATTTTAGCTGAAGTTAACCCATACTTCCAAATACTAATCCCATCACTGGATAAACCAAATGACTCTCTCCAAGTAAAACAGTAGCTCATTCATCGATACGGCTCCAGGAACTCCTTTCAATGATCCAAACATTTCTCTTATATAAGTGGTTTTGATATTGATTTAGAAATCAAATCCTATATTCTACTTTAAACATTCTCGCGTATTATTTTTTCAAGGATGGCAGAGAACACCTTCAGAACCCCTACAGTTTTATTTTATCATGTCACCTCACTCCAGTTGTTTTCAAAACATCTTTTAACCTAAATGATTACGGACGTCTTACATGGTCAAGATGTTTCCATTCTTCTGCCCATTCTCTGTCTGTTAGTCTGTGATCAATCATTTCTTCTTGACGTGTGCCATGCAACCCTACAAATATAAAGAAGGCTGAATCACCCGAAAACATTAAGAATGCAATCCACATGTGCAGAGGCACTTAGCAAAGACTATGTGTGCAACCTAAGTAATGTGAAAACACATTCGATTTTTGAATGGAGACATGAATCATACTCAGATACAGAATTAACTAATAGGTCCCTCATAGAATGATGATACCTTAGAACCAGAAGAAATTTTAGAGGTCATCTGGTCAGAACCATTTCTTTTACACATGAGGACCTGGAGAGTAAAATGACACCAAGCCCTGAGCCAGTTATCCATATAATATTCCCTAAGTGAAAATATAAATATATCCTGAATCTTAATAAATAAACCACAAGTAGACATTGAGTTCAAAGTGTGGCTTTCCTGCATTAAAAACGAAGACAGCATAATCTGTTTTACATGGATCGGGATATGCTTTTCTAAAACAAGCATGGTTAAACTATTCCACATTTGAGCATAGGAAAAATGAACACAATCTTATTAAATACATTTTCATGCTAAAATTGGGCTTCCCTAAATGGCTCAGCTGATAAAGAATCCACCTACAATGCAGGAGACCTGGGTTCGATCCCTGGGTTGGGAAGATCTCCTGGAGAAGGGAATGGCTACCCACTCTAGTATTCTGGCCTGGAGAAGTCCATGGACTGTATAGTCCATGGGGTTGCAAAGAGTCAGACATGACTGAGTGACATTCACTTTCAGTTTCATGTTAAAATTAGGCCATAACACAAAAGCAAAATATACTCACTCAACTTGCCAAAAATTTAAAAATAAAGAAAAATCAGTATACTAGATATCACTTTGGACAGATATCATAAATCTAAGCCAAGAAACTAAAAATCCTAATTTGCAGTGCACAGCACAAATATTAATGCTCTTCAGCATCAGTGAAGATGCTGCAGTGAAAAGGTAATAAGACAACACCAAGTGAGAACAATATTGAACACAAGAAATTAGCCAGGATGCTTATCGAAATAGAAAATGTGTCTTGCTAAACGGACAGTATGATCAGAGATACCCAGAAACGTGTGGCTCTTCTGACAAATTCAGAATGTGTAAAACACGTATCTTCTACTATAAAGGAAAGTCACTGAGCTATGGCAACATTTCCCATTTTAAAGAATTAAAACTTTGTTTTGGTTGCCATTTCTTACATTGTTACTCTGAAGAGCAAATTAAGTTTGGCATGGGTTAGGCTTCTAGATACCTAGGCTCTTTTTCTGAGGGAGTTATGTAGGAATTAAAAAAAATTTTTTAAAGTTATGGCATCACCGACTCAATGCATATGAGTTTGTGGAAACTCCAAGAGATGGTAAAGGACAGGGGAGACTGGTGTGCTGCAGTCCATGGGGTTGCAAACAGTCGGACACAACTGAGCAACTGAACAACAAAAGTTATGAGATACTGCATTCCACTTTTTGTGAAATCTGAGTGGTTAGAAATTCCCTTTTAGCTGATTCAGTGAAATAAAGATAATGAGTCACATGACTTTTTTTCAGCCAACCATGAAATATGACTTAATTTATAGCTGACGGAAGTAGACACATAAATGACAGCTTTCTCAGACTAAACACACCATTCCTCTCCAGTTAGACTATACTCTGAAATACACTTTTAACGCCAAAATTGTCAATGCCATCTATTGGTAAAAAAGTAAAATTGCAAATAAGTTTAATAATCTGCATAATGGAAAAGACATTGAAAAAGAGTAATATTTAGTTATTTCTCTGTTGTGACAATTTCAAGTTGAAATGTTTGCAAATATGTAATTTTTGTTGACTCATTTGTTGCTTGTGTTTTAGGGGAAAAGCACTACCAATGAAATGAAGCATCATAGAAAACAACTGGAGAGTGATAATAATATAAATGTGTGGTTTTGTGATGGAGGCATCTTACTACATTTGCCTACGTTAAGGGTCAAGAACTTCAGAGGTCTTAAAAGTTTCAAAAATTCAACAGATTATATCAATAGTGATGTGGGCTCTAACACCTGGAATAATATTAATGAACAACAGGATGTTTTAGGCTAATGGGATAACGGCCAATTATGGAACAGTGCTAAGCATCATCTCATTTAACAACAACAGAAAAATAATACATACATTAGAAACATGTTTGAGCCCAAGTAAAAATATATACTTGGTGAAAAAATATAGGTCTAATTTTTTTTTTGTTTGTTTGTTTTTTTGCTGTTTTTGAACTCTTTGTTGTATAGAGCCAAATCTTTAAAAAGAAAAAAAAAAACTCAAATTTTTCCATTTATTAATTTCTCTATTTTGGATACTTAAAATATTTATCACTACACAATTTTTATTTATAGCCATAATACCAGAGAGATGTTCTAGGCGAAAACAGTTCAAACTCATCGAAACCGTTTCATTTGACACTAATGTTGAGTCCTACCCAACTTCTAACGGAGACTCTAAGCTTATTTATAAACTAATGCTGCTTGTAAAGCTATTTTACTAAAATATTCAAGCAGGTACATGTCTGTACATATAATAAACATTTATAAATCATACCAGACCAAGTATACATTTATGACAATTTTTAAATTTAAATTCATGTACTTTTTACTTGGAGGACAATTGCTGTATAATATTGTGTTGGTTTCTGCCATATATTAACATGAGTCAGCCACAGGTATACATATGTCCCCTCCTCTTGAACCTCGCTCCCCCTCCAACCCCATCCTACCCTCTACGTTGTCACAGAGCCCTGGATTTAAGCCCAGGGCTTAATTTGTCATATACCAAACTTCCACTGGCTATCTAATTTTACATATGGTAATATACATGTTCCAATGCTGCTCTCTCAATTCATTGCACCTTCTCTTTCCTCATGTCCACAAGTCTGTCCTCTGTGTCTGAGTACGACAATTTTTATATTCTCAAAATAACAGCCTGATGTAACATCATAATTTGTCACTTGTACATCAAGACTTTACTTTAACACACACTAAACTCCGCCAGACTTCAGGGATGGTTAAGTAGTTGCATATATTTATAGAGATTAGCACTATTAGTTTTATAAGCTAATATAATTAAAAGGTAAGGAACATGGTCTCATGGAAAAAAAAATCACATAAAACCAGTGGGTACAGGTATAATTCATAAAGGGATATTTTATATTACTAGATGAAAACATAATCATTGCACATAAGCATAATTACTTCCTTGCTGATTACTTTATAGAGTACTGGAACTAATATTTCATGAAATAGAATTTACTGCCTCAGAAATAGGCCATTTCCTACCACCTACAAAATAGGGTATCTTGATTTGATCTTACAATGACCTGGTGACTCCACCTCTACTTGAAAATGAGCAATCATGGTTTGAGAGCATTTGTCATCAACAAATGGCAAGGCTTTGTTTGAAAGGAAGTTGTTATCACATTTGATTTCAGGGTCAAAATATCAACCCAGATGGAGAAAAAACATAACCATTTTGAGAGCTCTTCGAAATGGTACCTTGGAGAACATCAGACTGATTGACTGTTAAAGAAGCATACATCATATGCTGAGCCATTTGTCTGATACACTTCATAAATGCAGAGATGACTATTGTGGGGAAGTGAAGCTGCTACTTCACTATCTCACATTCAAGGCCCCCATCACCCCTGCCCTCAACCGGGCTCACGCTTTCTGCTTTCGAAACATTTGGAGGGCTGGGTTTTCTAAGGCAAAAACACCCTGGGCCTGGAAGGCCCTGTGTCCTACTGAGACAGCTGGGAGTCTAGCATAAAGCTCTGCTCACCACGCTCCCTCTGCCTGTGGCTGTAAAAACCTCTGCCCTCCTCCGCAGGCGGGCAGCCGGCCAGGCTTCCCGAGTCCTGGGACCCCTCGGCTCCAGGCCCAGCTCTTCCAGTTGGACTCTGCCCTGTGCTGCTTCCAGGATCTTACCCACCAGACCATCTGGGCTAGGCAAGTTTTTCAGCAACCAGCTAAGAAGAAAAGCAGGCCTGGCAGGGACACAGGGGACGGAAAAAGATGAGAAAGATGGCTGAGTGCTGCCCTCCATGTATCACTAGCTTGACTTGCCAAAAATAAACAAGTAAAGAAGTCCCAGGCACAAGGGCGGTGTTGCGATGCGATCACCTCCAACGCTGATTGTGCATCAAAGCTTACCTACTTGTCTTCCTTCTCATTTTCCATGGCAAGCACCGGCTCTTTAGAAGACCATGTCTCCTAAATGCTTCACTTTCAACAGTTTTATGCAAAAAAAGAATGAACACTGGCAAACAGAACACATATTTACCCAAACTCATTCCTTCGTTGGTATTCTGATCTTTGACCAAACTGTCAACACTAAATTGACTCACTAGCACTTCCACGTGGGAAAAAAAAAGTACTAAATCATTCCTCAAAGAACATCTGCTGCCTTAAGTCACAGACATAATACCATATCATCTTTTTCAAATAAAGACTATCACAGAGACTGAACTTTGAGATTATCTGAAAATAAAAGATGACGACTAAAGAAACTGATTTGGTAAAAAATAGTTGTGGCAGGCCAACTACATATGAAACCTCTCACACTAAAAAAAAAAAAAAAAAAAAAATACACTAAACACTTAATTTGTGTTTGTTAATATAGCTGACCTGTCTGGGGTCAGCAGATACACACCCTTCGGAAAAAAAAACAAAAAAACAAAAATAACCGGCTGTCACAAAGACCGTAAGTAAGAGAAAACACAGCTGTTGAAAGAGATATTAATACCGACGAAGTTTCCTCATAAAGGAGACATTGGATCAAGAAGACGTATTTTTACCCCATCACAGGTTTCAAGCCTGAAGTCTGGCTGAGCAGCAAGGACGCAAGTCTTGAAGCGCACCATCCCATAAGAATTGAAGAGGTCCTCAGTCTTACCCATAGGCCTGTTTCTGTCCCTGAGGTCCCTGTGGCTGGGGTGTCGATAGGAGTCCCTGTAGTGATGGGCAATGGCCATATCATCCAAACGGTAATGCTGCGGTGGAGGGGTGGGGTGAGGCAGGCCGTTCGGCTGGTAGGATAAGCCGTTATTTGGACTGTACCGCTGGCCTGGGCTAATAGTGCATGGTCGCTTGCTTGGATGTTCTGAGTGCAAAGGCTCTCTGTCAAAGCCATTTTCTTTGGTTCTGAGGGAGGAAGAAAAAGAGGTTTTTGGTTTTTTTTTTTCTTTTCATAATGGACTCAGAAAGCATCACCGTTCAGATACTTGGAACCTGTAAAATAAACAGAATATTCTTTTTGCTGGCCAGAAATTTTCTAAACTTGCCTAGACCTGTGAGGATTCACTGAAACCCACGCGGAGGCCTAAATGATCCCACGGCTCCACACAGGAGAAAAGGTTCCACTTTTCATCAATCAGTAAACATCTTTCAGTTGAGGCATGAATGGTTTGGTCACAAACCATGGATAACATTTTCATTCAAAGGTGAATCCTTATTTCTAACAAATTACCCTTGGATCAACTGTATCTGGTGATTCACCAAGGTACAAGAGCATCACTCTTTAGTTCTTTGGGTACATCTATTGCGCTGATCCAACCTGGCATCTGACTTCCACGTCAGAGGACATCTATGTGCTGTTTTGTTCAAAACAGTGGCCACACGTGGTGAATTAACATTAAATCCAGTTTACAACTCAATTTTTGGGCATCAACAGCCACACTGCATGTGTTTAGTTGCTGCCTACAGCTAGTGACTATTGTACTGTGCAACACAGATATAGATCATTTCCATGATCTCAGAAAATTCTATTCAAAAGCACCGATCAAACTGAATTAACTGAATTAAAGCAAATAAAACAATGTAATGTCTCGGACTGACATTCCCCTGGGCTATCAAGATAATCAGCAGTCACACAGAGCTTGCTGGGATTAGAGGAAAGGGTGAAGCTCTTTCTCTTAAAGTTGAGGAAACACATGTGCAGATGCAGCAGGGACCTGTCTGAGGCTATCATCAGATCTTGGACCAGGGCACGCACACCCCGTCTGCATTTCATCATGTGATACACAAGACTCTGGACGTGTCTTTCAGAAGGACAGTCTGTAAATGAGACCTGGTAACTGCTCTTACATTCTCAAACACAAAGTAGGGTTAAAGAAATATCTTCTGGCTGACTGTGTCTCTAGGAGATTAACTCAATATATTCAGTAAGACAGGAACATGTCACATGCAGTTTGGCCGGAGGCACAGCTCCCAAACTAATTTCTACCTAGTAGTTGGCTCTCCTCGCAAGGCCATCCCCTCTATCCTTAACCAGAGGCAACATCTCTTTTTCCTGAGAAATTTCCTCGTAAGAATTCGACCGAGTCACAGCAGCTGTGGATTTCTGCAAGCCTTTATTTAACCTGTGGACGCCAGGGAATTTCCATCTTCACCCTTTTTTTGATTGTAGGTGGGTTAGACTTAAAGACTTTAAGAGACTTTTCCCACTTTCCTAGTGCCCAGGGATGGTCTTTGATAAAACTGGAGGGATCTGAGTGGAAAGTGACTTGACAACAGAGATCATCAGGGGCAAGAGGCGTCTACGATCAGTCGTCCTTTACGTCCCTTTAGGGTAGCGCCCCAGTGACAAATTACACACACCAGATTAAGAATGAGGAAGGAGTTACAAAGAGAAGGTGCAGGCACACTAAGAACTGAGGGAAACTGCGGACGTCAATGGGAGATGAATACAGGTCCGACACGTGCTGGAGAAAGATGTTCTGCAACCAGGAGACTGTCCAACGTTAAAAATGCCAGCAGGGCACGGTTCTCAAGGGAGTAGCAAAGAGAAGTCTCAACGCTGCTCCTGTCAAAGTGTCGACCCTCAAATACTCGGACTCCATACCCACTGATCATTGACCAGACTGAAGGGTCTCAAACATTATCTGAACATATTGCTTAAAATAATTCTTAAAAGTGAACAGAAGCAGCCTAGATTTATCTTCTAAGAGGATAATTTATGTGATTCTCACCTGTATTTCCATATCCTACACATTTCTGAATGATATATTTCAACAGTCAATGCATAAATATTGCCAGCATAAATCAGTTAGAAAATACTGAAGACTATTAGTAGCTATGAACACAATGTCAACACAGCACCTACCTTACTGGCAGTGTGGTGTAGTGGAAAGAGCACTGGACTGGGAATCAAGAGACCTGAGATTTAGTCCTGGCTCTTCCACGACTAGCTGTGTGACCTTGGGCAAGCCACTTAACCTCTCTGGACCCCAGTTTGCTCATCTGTAAAATGAAAGGGTTGGACTAGATCAGTGGTTTTCAAACTGTGTCACCTGAAATGCTTAGGGATTCTGCTGGCAATAAAGAGCTTTTACCCCAACAATCAAGATTTAAAGGACCAGAGGAACCCACGTATCATTTTAATCCATTTTAACAGTTTCATTTTTGAAGGAAAAAGTCAGCTGCTGAAATCAAGTTTGAAAACCACTGGACTAGGATGATTTCTGAGGTCGTTTCTAGTTTGAAAACTCTGAAATTCAATTATTCTATATTTATTTCTAAATGCTATTTGCACAGCACAGGAAATACAGCTAATATTGTATAATAACTATGTAAGTGGAGTACAGACTTTAAAAATTATAAATCACTATGTTGTATACCTGAAGTTTTATATAAGTTTTCACATCAACTATACCTCCTTTTCAATAAATGAATAATTTTGCTAAATGTCATGGTTATGTAGATCGAAACATGCAAAGCTGATGGTATGCTAGCCAAATTACATCTAAGTCAACCATGTGAATGTCTTTGTGCTTTGCTTTGAACAGTGTATTATTTATAGCTGATTTTGTATGCAGAAATAGAAAATATCCTCTAAATATCTTTTACCAGCCTAAATATATAAACATAAAAACATTTCTAAATACCCACTTGTGTCAAACCAATTCAACTCACTGGTTTAGTGTCTCCTTGTTCAAAGATAATAAGAACCTAGAACATTGGAAGAAGTCGTACTAGTTTCAAAGTAGTTAGATACAGTATTTAACTTTGCCAACACATCAGCCCTCTGATCAGTGCTATTACTTCAGTAAGCCCATACTGAAGCTTTTTTCCCCTCCTAAAACAAGGACAGTAAGGTCCTAAGAAGCAGAGCTAGCTCCTAGGTCTATCCTATCATTTCTATCATATCCCTGCAGGGATAGTCACTATTCTGGGTCTCATAACTCTTGCAACAATTCAAACAATAAAGCTCATCACTTCACAAAGGTAGGGTATATTTTAGCAGGAAAGCATTCAAACATTAAAACAGCCTATAGAAATAAAGGTATGAAAAGCCTCCCTGATACTTCCTCCAATCACTCATGGCTTTATAAAAGACAACCCTACTCAAAGGATGTTATGTCCATAAAGCTAACCAAAACAACTTAATTCCTATTTGTTCGTCTGCTTCTTAGAAATGCTTACAACTACCAACACCATTGCTTGGGTGCAAATTATAAATTTGCATGTTTATTTGTTACCTTCTCAAAATGTATGCGGCAAAACTAACAAATATCCATTGTCCCACACCAACATACTTTCAAAATGACTCAAATTCTATTAGGAAGTCTGTCACATCTCATGGGTTCCTAGAAGGCACTTTTTTGGTTTGCTTTTCGTATTCTGTCTCCTTTTCAGAACAAAGTTTTCTGAATATAACCCACTTCAACATTTAGATCCCAATCACCTCTCTCAGGGTCTGAGGTTGTCAAAGGACTCTTCAGGACTCAGCTGTGTGACCTTGAGATAACTTGGAAAAGTTAACTTTCTGGATTGAGTTTCTTGCCCAGTAAAATGAAACTAATGGGCAATAAAACAAGCTTAAAACAAAACAAAACAAAACTTAAGAGACAACTTAATTGACACCTTATCCCACTTGAGGCTGTTTTTTCTCAGCTCCTCAATATAGAGGCTGTAAACTGATTTATTTGAGAAAGAAAAGCTTTTTAAAAAACTTTCCTCTATATAAAATATTTTAAATGTCGTAATTGGCTAGTATGCACTGGTAATCCCTTAGCAACATGGAAATGAGGAGGAATGAAGAAAAAAAATGTTATTAAGACCATGGTAATAATCAGAATAAGAGGACCAAGCAATCTCCTGCACGACAGGAACACAAGTTTTTTTCCAAGATCAAATGTTTTTTAAACGGGGAAAACAGCACTATAAAGATTATTCTAGGGAAAGGCAAATTGGTACAGTGTAATAAAGCTAAGAATGGCAAGGAAAAAACTTAAAAATATACAAATAAACACCTGCCTTAGATGCTGACTTCTCCCCTTGACCACAGGAATTTCAAACAGCACATGTCTAAGCCGACCTTGTCTTTCTCTGGCACTTCCAACACCAGTCAATTATGCCACCTTCTACTTAGCCACCAAAACAGAAACTTGAAGTCACTCTGTAACTCTGTAGAGGTATACTCTCTAACCTTCTGCCCCAAATCAAGTCCTGCTGCTAAGTCTCTTCTCCGTCACAGGTCCTTCTGCCCCACCTAAGACACGTGATCTTAGCTCCAACACACCTCTGTCTCTGCAAGCATCTCAGTCAGAGCCAGGGCTCAGATACTGCCTGAGTCTTAAAACAAACAAACAAACAAACACAAACCACTTTATTTTTGTATTCTAGAAAGAAGTCTGTGCCTAAATCTCAGGGGTTGACAGTTCTGTTGAAGAAAAGCTCAAAAACATAAATGACTTCATCTTAAACAAATGTCCCTTTCCTTTTCTAATAAATGCAGTTTGTTAAGGTTTCCACAGAAGGACTAGACATTCGAATTAAAGGGCAGGGGGAGAAGAGTCATTTATGGCATCGTATTTTCAAAACACAACTCAGTAAATAGTCTCTTCAGCAAATAGGTGAGTTCAGATAAGAATTTTACATAACCACCTTCTAGCGGTGTTGAATAATGCATCTGAAGCAAAATACATTACAGATTCCCCTGCTACCTTAAAAAGAAAATCAAACCTGATTCTTCAGGACAACCTGTGGGGATTTGTGTTTGTAGAAATATCACCCTGCAGGAAGTGGGATGTTTAGACGGTGAAAAACAGCACCGAGTGACCCAGGACCATCACTACTGGGCCACATAGAAAGAAGTGCCTTCCATCTCTCCTGCTAAACCACCACCCAGGAGAGTACTTCCT